GAAGGTCTATGAGCCGGCATGCGAGTGGGGTGACCCCTGCTGTGCCACTGCCACCTGTGGGGGCTGCAGGTGTTGGGTCTTTTGCTCTTTACCCAGCTCCAACCCCCTCTGCAGAAGCCGCAAAGGCACCACCGAGACCCAACTACCCATGTTTATGGGGATCCAAGGCCTGGCTACGTACGTCCTACTGCACCAGCTGGCCTGGGAAAGCCCCTAAGACACTCAGCCCCACTAGTGGGCTCACAAGCGATTTGAAGAGATGTTCTACTAATCCTACGTGGCACCCAGACCCACGCGAGCAGCGGCGAGCTCTTTCAGCTCAGGCTTTCAGATCCTGAGCTCACAGGTTTGATCCCTGCTGCCAACCACCCGCCCCGGAACACAGCATGACACACACCCCATTGGTGGGAACCCTTGCAGAGATCCTGCTGCTGTCTGGGCTACACAAGGCCTTCAGGATGGCATGCAGCCCCCACGGCAATTGGTTTCTAGCCCTACCCAAGTGACCCAGAAGCAATGTATGGGGCTAGCCGCCTACACGGTCTGAGGAGGCATCAGGGCATGCCCTCACACCCCCGAGAGGTTCAGACAGCGATCAGGGCCCCCCCTCATGCCACATCCTGCCCCAACAACCTCTGTCTACATAGGGATGTCCCCATTGGAGGGGACCAAGTCCCAGAGAAGCTCCACGACTTGCCCAGTCACACGGACTCAGTGGCAGAGCTGGGATTAGAACCCAGATCTCCAGTGTCCTGGTCCCATTCGCCTCCAGCTGGGCTCGTCACCCCCACCCACCTTGTGTTTGGCAGCTTCGCTCCCTAATTGCTCAGCCCTTCTGGAAAAGCAGCTCAGGGTTTCTGGGCTGAGAGCTACCTCACTCTGCATACTCAGCAGGACTTTGATAACCCTCCACCAGTGCTCCGTGCTCACCCCACCCCCTTTGCCCAGCAGCCGCAGAATTGCAGGTGCTCTGATCCTGGCCAGATTGTACCTGGTTTGTATTTCACACCAGCTCAGTTCAATACAGACACGGCAGCTTTCCTCTGCCCTGTACCTGCCAGACAAGGTCAGACCGTTAGTCCAGCTAGCCTCACATCCTGCCTTTGGTGCTCGCTGCCTGATATTCCCTCCTTCCTACCAATACGACATATTCAACGCTGCATCGCTCCCGAGGCGCATAATGGAGCTAGCCAACTGTGCAGCGCTGGAGAGGAAGAAGCCTCGAGGGACCGTGATGCCCCACACGGTGGGCGATTTAACCCACTCATCATCCAGAGGCCACGGTTTCACTTGAAAACACACCCCTTTGGCAGACACCGAATTGCTGTGCAGGGGAGAACACGGTGTTCCAAAAGGACAAGAAAAAAAACATTGATTTTTGTTGCTTGCAGATGCAGAGAGGTATTACCGGGGCTGAATGGGCAGAATGATTGAATGGAGAGGTGACAAGGGAGCCCATGAAAATAAGTGATGGGCCAGCAACAGCTAATGATTTTTCTCTTTTCCCCACCTCTGGCTTTCTGGGTAGAACTAATTAAATCCCTCACCAGCTTCAATCTATTACCCAGATTTCCAGCTGGCTGTTTGCTACGGAGACAGCCCTCAATTTGTTTCCAGTCGGGAGCACACGCAGGGGAGCTCAGTCCAGCAAATGGGCCAGGCTTCGCCTACGGATTCTTGCTGTGCCCTGCTAGGAAACCATTTGAAAGGCCGGGGCTCGGCCTGCAAGGAAGGATGAGCTCATGCTCAACATGAACTCTGGTGATCGGGGTTGGATTCCTGGCTCGGCCATAGACTCCCTGGAGCACCTCACATCAGCTGAGTGCCTCAGTTTCCCCATGATGGTTCCTTGTTTAGTCAGGCTCTAAGCCTCAGTCTCTCATTAGGTATCTGTAGCACCCCTAGCACACAGGGCCCTCTAGCATACAGAGGCTGCACATTGTTTCCATAACCTCCCTAGAAATGCACCCCCCCACACACCCCCAAAGTCAGTCAGTCAGAATCTTTTTGTTCTGTAGCCATGGAGGCAGCCTGGCACTGCTGGGCTATGGAGTCTTTGCCTTTCCGGGGTGGTGGGAGAAAGGTGCTGGATTTATCTCCTTGCAGGCCCACAGCCTCTCTAGCGACAGAACAGATACAGCATAAACAGGGCTTGCACCCCCTGAATAACACCCAGCCCCCTTTGCTTGCAATGCTCGTCTGTCCCAAGGTTTGCTACTCACACCACACCCCATATCCAGGCCCGCAGGCAGCCCACCCCAAGACATTTGCCTTTACTGTCCAGTCCCCTGTATTACCCCATATTTCTATTGCAGCAGCACCTCAGCGCACCAGCCGTGGACCTGGCCTCCAGTGTGCTAGGTACTGTACAAACACAGATCAACAGGCCATTACTTTTCCAGTAACAAGAAAAGACACCTAGGAGCTGCCAGTCAGCTCAGCCCCAGGTCCACGTAGCTCACTAACCAGTCTCCAGCTGCTGCAAAGGAAAGATCGTGAGGTTTTAGGGCCCTTCTGAAAAGCGTTGCAAAAAGCTATGGACTAGAAGGACTCCAGAGAGCCTTGTTTCTAGAGCGCACTATTAAAGTCATCGAAGATTTAGTGCTTCCATGACATCCCAGGACATGAAAATTCACTGTTCAATTATGCAGCACTTGGAAGCACATTTCCTCTTATCCATCTTGAATTTGCCACCTTTCATTTTAATTGTTCCCTTGCTCTTGTGTTACAAGATGGGGAGAGTAGAACTTGGCAGGCTCTTGTCAATACTCTCCCTTATTGTACATGCTTTGTGCTCTCTCTCACCACCACCTGCCCTAGGCAGGCACAGATGCCATACCACACCCTCACTGCAGGGCCAGAATACCTGACAGGGTTAAGGAAAGCACTGGCCTCCCAGGCAGGAGGGTCCCGATCTCACTAAGGTCATCAGTCATAACTAACATGCCCAATCATCTCCCCCTAGGAAGGGTTAGAGACAGACATCAATTAGCCCTCATTCCAAGGGCTGCCCCAAGTTTTAGTCCCACAGTTAGCTTCAGGACACACACAAAATGGGCCTCCTCTGACACCCAGCATTGAAAGTTATTCACAAGAGGAATAAAAAAACTCATAACCCTGGAGCTGCAGAAAAACACCCTGACACCAACCCCACCACATTGTAAGCCCCCTCCCTGACTAATATTTCTGCACTCCTCTTTGGGGCATAGCAGAGCCTACCTAGATTCCTTAGCAGATCAAGCATAACCCATACACTTTATTGAAGAAAACAAAGTGCCTACTTACTTTCTCACCACTATCTTCCCTTTACACCTGCCTGCCAGACACCTCCAGTTGCCACTCCTGGTCCTATATACTAGGAGCCTTGATGCCCTCACACAGCAACCTGACTCCTCACACCTGACCCCTGCCACACCTAATTAAATCAGCCCCTTATTAGCCCTCCCAATTCAACCCCAACTACTTTCTAATAAGGTTTAGGGAGATGATTTCTCTGCAAGTCAGTATCTTGCTCTTTTTTGGGGGTGGAGCAGGGGTTCTGTGCTCTAGGGCATGAGGGGGCTTGGGTGTTCGGGGGGGGAAGAGTGTGGGATGTTTTGCTTTGGGGCGCAAGGGGGCTTGGGCCCTTGGTGGGCGGGAGCAGGGGGCACA